ATCTCCAAGATTGAGGAGCATTACAAAGGAAGTGTTTTGAATATTACTGCTGCCATCAAGCAGGACACCATTATGGGCAGTCTGCATGAGGATCTTTGTATTGTTCGTGCTCAGTAAAGTTGACCATAGTTTAATCAGCATGGTAGCCATGCCTTATAGTGAGTCTGTTACATGAGTACTTGTGGATTTTCTTGTTGCTTTTCGTGGACTTGTGGCTTTTCGTATGGAGCGAGCGATTTTGGACTTGTGCTTTTCGAACGTACGTACAGCGATTTTACTACTAGTAGCTAGCTAGCTAGCTAGCTACTGGCTAGTAGTAGCTTTCGAGGACTTGTGCTTTTTCGTGGAGCAAGCGATTTCGAGAGCCAAAGAGGTGCGTCCGTTATCTTAACAGTGAGTAGTAGAGGTGCGAGCCTCATTTTTCTTACAGTCGAGGACGTGACCTTCACTAGGTCGACACTGGTTCGATCGATCGACCTTGCATACACCAGGTGTTGGGTACGATGGATACCTTGATCAATACGTCCTGTAGGATCCACTACCACAGGTACAGGCTCTCAGTATTCCTCTCAGTTCAGGGATATACTTTTACGGTACAGCAGTCGTACTAGCTACTGGCCTCTTCCAACCCCGCCATTTCAATGCACCCCTTGATCCATTCCCCCACTAACTTCAAGTCGGCATCACTTAGTCACTTACCCCTCTACCAGCTACTGTAATTCCATAGTAATGTACTGTTATTAACTCAGTCCTATATGGTAGGGATTGGTTTAGGAGCGTAGAGGAGTACCAGCATCCTACTTGCTGGCCAAACGAGATTTTAGGAGCAGACGCCCTTTTGGGACACCCAAAGAAAGAGATTTCGTTTGAATTCACTATAGGGATAAACAGTACAAAGTGACGTTGACCAGGTCATTGGGGAATCGATTCAAAATTCTGAGTTGGCCAGCGCTGGCAGTGCAGGCTCCCGACACGCGCCCAGCATGAGCCCACTGGTCACGGATCGCACTGACGCACCTCTGGGGTTCGCATTCGGAAGGTCACTTTTGAGACACCGAGTCACGCTAGAAAGAAAAGAAGGGCACGGTAGCTAATTCTCGAAGATAGTGGTACGGCAACTGTAAAACTCTTTACTACTGTTACGTCCTATACTAAATGCTATCCTCAACAACGGATCCACTACAGCTGTGCAACAATGGCGCGCCAATGGTTTGTCAACAACGGCGCTAAGTAGTAGGTTTAAATCTATCTATTCCTCCTTGCCCTCTTGGTCCTCTTCTACCATCGTCTTGTAGAGTTCGCGGCATTGCTTTTTCAAGGTTTCGTGATCGCTCCGTTCCTGTTTCAACTCTCGATTGAGGTTTTTGATGGTCTTCACCATCATCTTGCGTTCATGTGACCGGTAACCCTCAATGATCCTATCCTGGTGATATGATCGGTGCGTCCATGCACCCATCCTCGCAATCTCATCCATGTGCAAACCTTCATAGTCAATGAGCCTCGCTCCAAGCTGGCGTCCTTGGTGCAAAGAGCCATCAGCTTCCAAAAAATCGAAGTGCTGATAAGGGACACGAACTTGGCTGGAATCCGTCAGTTCGACATAGCAGTACACAAAGGGGCTGGTCGGGCAAGGCCTGCAGAAGACAGCGACTTGGTGCTGGTACTCTCCCTGATTGATTCGAAGTCTTGTTCCTGGGTTCACCATCCTTGCAACTAGCCGTTTGGATTGGATTGATTGATGGTGCGTTGATTCAAATTTGTGCGATAGCTTGGATGGATGTGCACTACGCTAAAAGCTAGTGTAAAGATCTTTCGAGTGTTTTGAGTTTGAGAGAATGAAAGTTATGAGAGGATTAGAAAGCTATGAAAACTAATCAATGAGAGAGATCCACAATCAAAGGATCGTAGATCTGAAACTCCCGCGGGAGACTGTAGAGGTGATAGAGTAGGATTGCGGTAGCAATCCTACTCACTCCACGATCCAAAAAACGGAACGCGTGGAAGATTCGTCTAGCATTTATCTAGTAGCAGGGAATATCCAGCTGGCTAAATATCTATGAGCGATGTTTCATCATCAACCTAGTATTGCTAGAACCGTCATTGAGAACCCTGTCTCAATGACTATTTCACAGAGAGACTCAGTCTGAGTCGAACACACTGTACATCAGACCCTCAATCTATGATCGAGTCTCTAATAAGGCTAAGAGCCTGTTATTGCATTCGCCCCCTGACAAGGGTCACGGAAGGCACGACTTCAGTCGGACAAGGAGAACTTATGATTTAAAGTGCGGGCCACTCTCCGGAGATTGGATGTAGACATGGGCGTCGCCACGCTGGAAATCCTACAAGGGGGTCAGGCCTTGTATGGGTGTAAATATCTTATGTTCGCAGACGTGCTGAGACTGTGCGCTACTGGCGGTAGTATGTCGAAGCCGTACAGTGCCATTGTTATTGCATCGGTCTGTGTGGTAAGGACTTTGTGCGTTGGCTGACCGTTTTAACGGTTCTGATACTGATGAATCATCACTGTAGGTGTGCAATGGTGTTGATGAGGGACACGTGTCGTGTTCTCCTTATCGGTGTTTTCTGGATAAGTCGTTAGCGACGTTCCTTAATGTATTTTCCGGTTTGCTTTCGAAACGGATGTGGTGAATCTATGATGTCAGCATTGACGCGCGTAGCGCGAACGTTGCGAGCGAAGTCCAACGTTCATTACCTGCCGGCGAGTCTTACTACTCCGACCATCAGATGCGACACACACGACCATGTTCTCTGTCTCATAAGACAACCGTCATGGGAGTACTGGGTAACCACCGTGTTTCGTG